TTTCCGTCCGTCCGTACGTCTGTCCGTCCGTACGTCCCAAAATCTTGTGAACGCAACCCCTCTTAAACCGGATGGCAGATTTTGCTTAAACTTACAGGGATGAACAACCTTAATGTGTAGATGGAAGTAAAGGAAGGAATTTTCGCTGCGACCAAATTTAACAGAATTATGGCCCTTTGTTGATTTTTTCACTATATACTATGTAGAAATTTTGTGAACGCAACTCCTCTTAAACCGGATGGCAGATTTTGCTTAAACTTACAGGGAAGAACAACCTTAATGTGTAGATAGTAGTAAAGGAAGGAGTTTTTGCTGCGACGAAATTTAACAGAATTATGGCCCTTTGTTGTTTTTTTCACTATTTACCATATCGAAATTTTGTGAACGCAACTCTTCTTAAACCGGATGGCAGATTTTGCTTAAACTTCCAGGGATGAACAACCTTAATGTGTAGATGGTTGTAAAGGAAGGAGTTTTTGCTGCGACTAAATTCAACAGAATTATGGCCCTTTGTTGATTTTTAGTTTTCAACTTGTGGCACATGTAGTCCAAAAAATATTTGACCTAGAGTCATAAAATTGACAGAACAGTGGCGTGTGGGGGCATCCGTGTCCTATGGACACATTTCTAGTTATTTTTATTCTACATAATAATACTCTTTATTTTTACTGTTGCAGAAAGAAGAAGTCAGTACGCGTTTCCTTGTTATTTCTGCTGAGAGCAATAAAGATGCATGTTAGCTTTTTATAAAATATTTCAAATAAAACTCAAAGATTACAAACATATAAATTATTTTCATTGCGTTATAGAGTATATATCATACACATCTTCAAAAGAAGTATGATAAATATATGGCTACTTTACATTGTATTTGAATGGGAGTACTGTTTTCGTTAACAACAATTTTTACTGCATATAAGTAGTTTATACACTTGAAAATGGTTACGTCTATTATTTAGGGTGTACATAATCAAACGTTGAATCGGATATATGGTTCTGTTTTATACCTACGCGTATGCAATATTAATACATATATTAAGTGGGGCTTTGTAATAAATAAAAGTAAATTAAAGTTGAAACTGTTTGATGATTCCATACCATGAAATAGCAATACCGACTTCAAAACACGCGTTATATTTGCCCTGGTACTTGAGAAAATTTATATGGCACTCGTTTCCTAGATGCACATCGTTACCTAGATGCATATGGTATTCTTTTCAATGGCTAGTTCTAATATAAATGATGAAACGTTACAAAAGAAATGTCAAACAAATATTTAGTTGATTGACACCAGATAATGTCATTACTTGAATGATACACGCAATTGCTTTAACGTGTTTAAACAAGCACCATATACATGTATTTGTAATAAATATTATAAGCACCTTTTAAAATGTGGTATGATTTTCTACCATCTGCTAATTGTCCTGATATTATGTATGGTCATACTTTTTGCCAGGTAAGCAAGCAATATACTATATAGCAATAGCAAAAGGCGATGTTTCTCGCGATTTAGTCACATTCGTCTCGGCTTTTGTAATTATGTCTCTACACATTTGAATTCGACCCGTGCATTTTTCCTAAAACAATCACTCGAAATAAATAGATCTATCCTTTACTGTAACTTTTAAGATTTTAAGAGCGTTTCTAGATATGAAGTTTACCTAGTCCTGAATTCAATTTGATTTTCTATTTTATAGTTATTAGAAAGAAATAAATCCATAAACACATCCTGTACGGAAATATCACAGATAAAACAGACAATGTTGTAGCAAAGATTGGGAACAGAGGAAAAATTATAAACACATATATTTACGTGGTGCACTATTTAATCTCGTGTAATAGCTGAAGAAAATTATTTGAAAAACGAGATATTAAATAAGGAATTATCAAACCCTTTTTCGAAAACGATGGTTAGTTTGCCTTTTTCTATTATGATGTAAATGCATGTTAAGAGCAGATAATATTATTAGTCACAGCGAAATGTGCAACTGACACCAATATTTGATATTTTTTATTTTCAATCTTAACCAGTATTGACTAGATTATTATCAAACCTTCATAAATAGGCATATCCTATAATCTTATGGCTTAGAATAAACGGCAAGATAATTCATCAGTATTGAATAATATTGAAAAAAATATGGCACTTTATTGAGGGCAACTCTAGTGAGCATTTTTGAAAAAAAAAACATTTATTTACTCAAAGCTTTAAATCTAAATCATGCACATTAAGGGAGGTAAAAGTGTCTTTAAATACGAGTATTTATCATTAGTTTTGTTTTTATTTTGTCGATAAATCTTTCTTTAGGCCTCCTACGAACGATATAAGATACAAAATTGTCTTGTTAATAAGACGGAGCTTAGTGATCGCTGAATGTTGTGGGAATGTGGCATTTAGTCAGCTAAATTCAAACAAAATAGTTCAAGGATAAAAGGATTCCACTGAGGTGTTATGGCATGATGGTACTGTAAGTATGTTTTCATCATTAATGTTCCATTTGTTGTCCTTCAACCAAAACAATTTTACAACAATTGAGATAAGTAACTTGATCCGTTTCCAGAATTTTTATTGTTATCGTGAAAATAAATTGAAAAATTGAAAAGTATTGCAACGTTTTTACTCTAATCGGGCTAAGAATAGCACAAAAATACGTTTTTTTTATTCATTTCACATTAAATTACCGAATTCTCTTTCGCTTGTCATTCGTTTTTTTAGTCCCCCCGCTAATGTAGGAAATAAATTCATTCAAATATTGTAATTTTAACACATCTTATAAATATCCATATTTTTTATAAATTAAAGAAAACCCTAGCGGACATATTGTGGTCCAACTGATACATATAAAAAGAATTTATTGATCTAACTGTTATGAAACGTAATACGAACTTACACCTATTAGTCTCTAAAGTATTTATAAGGGATACTTAATGAATATAAAGTTCAATACTGAAATAAGATTTTATCACGGGAACTTTGGCAAGCATATCATTTTATTTTAACGATTATAATGAATTTAGTTATGAAGCTACGAATATAATACATATTCTATTAAACAACCCAAAATAAGAAAGCTTGAAATAAATGCTCACAGTTAACTCGTCTTGACGATACATGTTAATTTGGAGATACAAATGTAACAAGGAAGTTATAATAAGTATTTGCAAAGACCCAATTAAAAGTTATAGAAACTAAATTAGGAGTTATTTGAAAGAAATGTCATTATTTTAGAAAATCTTCTAACTTACTAACCAAAATAGTGTAAAACCAAACAAAGAACAAACATACAAGGAATAAACATATTATTCAATGTGCATATCATTGTAAGTGCATTCCAAATCATTTTTTTTACTATATGTTAAAGAATTTAATCTTATATTAAATTTTCACATGCCACTGATATGGCATGCATTGCAGGTGGTAAGAAGCATTAAGAAGTTGAGCATGCCACGTGTAATTAAACAGATAATATATGCAATGCGACAGAGGTTATCATCGAAAGGTGTCTAAAAACATGTCTGCAAAGAAAATCCACTACATGGAAAACAAGTAAATTTCTAAAGCAACTACATTTTAATTGTCAATAGTAATTTAAATTTGAATCAGGTATACGACTCTTCTTCATTATTCGGGAATTTATTTTATCAAACCATCCTTTTCTTCACAATAAGAACTAATTTTCATCTAAAACAGAAATAGTAAATTTAGAATGCAGTAGTGTAAGGTTTTAATATTCGTGGATAAAGATTTTGTATAATTTTACTCATAAAAAAAATAAAACTCTGTATGCTATTTATTATTTTTTGAATTTTTAAATATTGTTATAGGTAATGGTAAGAGTATATAAATTTTCACTTGTAGTGGCTTGCCTAGCGACTTTTTTTGGTAATCAAGAAATAAACCAGAATTTGTAATTAGTTTATTTTGGCTAAATCGGTGCAATAATGAACTTGTACGTAAATTGTATACCAATAGCATCACCTGTACAAAATCATAATTCTTGTAAAGTAAAATATTTTGAATAAATAATGTCAAAGGTTTTGGTTATCTGTGCTGAAATTTGAATTTTGAAGTTATTTAGGTCATTTCTGGAGTTGATTACATATACCCAAGATTTTGAACTCGAACCGTGTATTATTCTACAACAATGCAACCAACATTGATATGTATTGCATAAATGAAATAAAAGTATAAACAGGAATAATATTTGTATCAAGTTAATGTAGTACAGATTGCTACACGATGCATGACAAAAAAAAAACAAGAAAAAGAAACTTATTCATTGTGTGCTCGATCATCGGACAATTATTGTTATGTGTCAAGGCTTCTCTTAGCTGTACTGTAAATATTAGTAAATAATTGCTTTTGTGCATATAATGGCATAAAAATGTAACGTAAATACAAAAGAAAATCGTGTAGGCTTGTACTGGTAACTTTTAATCATTGTTGATGTTAACCTGTATGTTGATGTAAATAAATATTTCTCTTCCTTAAAACTTTGACGGTCATACGTTTTACTTCCATAATAATTGGTGCATTTATGACGATTGTTTGTGCGTTTATTCTAAATAACCTAAACGAACTCCACTGAAGTCTTAACGCCCCAAAACACGAACTTTTAATTTCTTATATACATCAACAGGGACAGTTAAAACAGAAAGATGTGGAAAAGATAAGTAAGAAATAGTCTCAGAAATAAATCGTATAAATAGATCTGTGTGAAAAGTGTTGCAATGCTTTTCAATTTTGACTCAATTTTCACAATAAGAGTACTATGTCTTGAAAACCGGAGTCAGCGAATGATCTGAGATTTTACACACATTTAATTAGTTAAGATCTACAGTAAATGAAATATTAATCTCGAAAAATAATTCCAATTCCGTCATTTAAATACAAAACCCCATCAGTGGAGTCCTTTAATGTAGAAAGAAAATGAAAACTGTTCGGATATCAAGGAGCATGTAGGCAAACGTTTTTGATAAGTTTATCATGTCACATTGTAGTAGTCATGTGACACTACACTTATCATGTGACCGAGTCTTCTACTCGTAAAACTCATAAGTAAGGGTTGCTATCTTTGTTATCTAATATCAAGTTTAAGTTTAGGTTTAGACAATCAAACATGGTAAGATTGTTTTATTACATTTATTTTTTTATTCTCATTTTTGTTTCATTTTAGTTATAACATTTTGTATAAGTATAATTTTTACTTGATTACTTAATTGTAAATAAATAGGCATTTGAAAAATTACAGTAAGAAAAACTATTTGCCAAATATCTTTTTCTTTAAAAAAAATATCTGTTCATCTAACTTTAAAATAGAAATTTGCCTAAAGTTAACCTTTAGAAGTAAATTGTAATACGTCTGTTTAAAATTAAATATATAAAATAAAGTGTACTACATCTGTTGAAGGTTAACTTTATGAAATAAAGTTAGTACATATTTCGAAAGTTAAATTTATGAAATAAATTGTAGAACTTATATTGAAAGTTAACATTATGAAATAAATGGTAATGTACATCTGTTGAAAGTTAACTTTATGAAATAAAATTAATTTAATACATATTTTGAAATTTAACTGTATGAAAAAAAAATTTCATAGTACATATTTCGAACGTTGAATTTATGAAATAGATTGTAATACATCTGTTGAAAGTTAACAGTATGAAATAAATGATAGATCACATTTTTGAAATAAATTGTGATACATATGTTGAAAGTTAACGTTTTGAAATAAATTGTAATTTATCTGTTAACAGTTTGATTTATGGAATAAATTGTAATAAATATGTTGAAGGTTATCTGCATGAGATAAATTATAATTCATCATGCATTTAAATAGAATTACTCTCTCAATTAATTAACGTATATTGTCATTCAATTTTGATGACATGTTACGGCACACATTTTATTTGTCCATCAGAGAAATTCTTATGCAAATCTCTTTAAATTGAAATAATTTTCCCTCTTTGGTATTTCATTGTATTTATATTCAAACCTGGTGGCAAGTATTGGTTATATTAAATGTTACAAAACGTTGACAGGACAATTTATTGAGCAAAATAAAAATTTGTAGTCAAAGATTTTAGGACAAGATAGTCAAAAGCCTTTCAGATTAGTATGTTGCTTTTCTTTGTTGATCTTTATTCTCATTATTTATACAAGTTCAATAGCCGGAATACAATGTATTAATGTTAAAGTTCCTTCATATCATCGCTTTGAAAAATATTTAAGAAGTTATGATATATCAATATTATAATAATTGTACAAATTTATAAACACTAATTACAATATTGTACTTTTTAAATTGTTGATTCTAAAATGACTATCCTTCAATCTGTGCTTTTGTTTTACTACTTTCAAATAGAACTCGCACAGTTGATTTAGTCTGCTTAATTTCATTATAATTGTAATTTCAAGATTATAATAGTCCTTTATTGATGAACGAGTAAATGATTTAGTAAAACAAACGAAACATTGTTAAAAGGTAAAGTACAACGTAACTTCATTAAATTTTGTTTTTGCAAAAACATCACACTGTATGTGATTATTAAGAAGCATTGAACTGGATTTGAATGTAAAAAATACAAAAGGTTTATGTATGATATTTGTACAACGTTGTATTATGCTGTTGATGTTGTTTTTCGTTAGTAGAATTGTACAGTATTTTCCGTTTTAGCAAACTATATACTGAGATATTTGAATATCAATTTTTTTTCTGATATCTTGGTAAAAATGCCTGTTTATGTTATCCAAGAAAATGGATATTAAGTTTTTTTATGTCAACTGAAAATAGTTATTAATGTTTATATGAATTCAAAATTAGAAATAAGATATGTTTATATGTTGACAAAGAGATGTTTATAACGATTTTTATGTCTGCTCATTAAAACATATCAAATTGCTTTTTATGCCCATTTATTCAAAATGCAAAATAAAAATAAATTATAATAGTAATAATATTTGTAATATGATATTAGAAAATGCTCACAATGTACTTAATATGTAAAACATGATATAGTCGTCATACATAAACCCCCCTAAAATGTTATATCATCAGTTTATAAACATTGCAATTATGCATGTATGTGTGACCTCAGAAAAAAGTCATAACATCTGGTTGTATAAAATTAGAAGAGTTTTAAGATATTTTGTTTAGATGAACTCAGAAGATGTTAACTGCTTGTTTTTTTTAGTATATTATTTGAAATAAAACCAAAGAAATACAAAATAATTATTATTTATAATCATTTTAAGATATTTCCATGCTAACAAGCTGATTAATATAATCATAGCTTAATAACGAATGTTGTCGCAAGATGTTAGAATACAACGATCTTAGTATTTTGTAAAGTTATTATCCCGGAATATCAATAATGCAATTCAGGTTCAAAAATATTTTTTTTTGTTTTTTGTTTTTTTAAGTAAGATAATTTTTGTACTTAATAAGAATATATTAAAACTGAATGAGTTCTTTTTATCATTTGTATTTAATTTTCATCTTCAGTCGCTAAGGCCTGCATTGATGATCAGCTTTCTGCTACTGGGAATTTCAATTTTATATGGCGAGACAACAGGTAGTATAAATAAAGTAAAAATAAATATAAAAAGACCATTGTTGTGAAATCAAATTTGATAAAACCTTCTTTAAATTTATGCAAGATAGTGTATGAACTAATGATAATTTTTATTAAAGTCTTATTCATTTTATTAATCAATATTTAATCTTAGTATCAAAATTACCGTGAATATACCTAATAAAAAATCAGACCAATATTTTAGACTTGGGCGCAAGTTGTACACCTCCAGTTAATAATGCAGCAGATGAATGTACTGTAAAAGATTCGGAGTGTAAAACTAATACGTGTGCTTGCAAAACCGGATTTATTAAGGAAAATGGAGCATGCCCAAAAGGTAAATTCTCTCTTATTATGTGTTGCATATAACGAATCTAGTTCATATAATTACAATAAGTTGATAGAACTTATCGTATATGTACTTTCTTATTATATCTTTTAATGTCGTTAATAACAATATACAATAGATTGTCCTGTTTTAATTATTTTTTCGTATTTGCTGGATTGCCTTGAATTACCTGCCGATCTCTGAATTAAAATGTTATGAAATAATTTTATTAGTTGATTATCCAAACCTAATCAATACAAAACTTAATCAATACAAAACTAAGTCAGTATTGTTCTTTTAAATCCTATTGTTTATTTCCGTGTAAGTTTTGGTCGTTTTTACAAAATAAACCCAAAAGAAAATACATTTATGTGCATAAGATAGTGTTATTCTTTAACCTTTGAAAAGATAATTAATAATAAAAACATGATATTAAGTAAATCCCATTTGGAAGTTTTTGTCGACATGTAGGCTACAGATTATGTTTATCGTTAACTTTTGTAATGCTCACAGAATATATGATTTAATTACTTATCTATACAAAATTGACCAATCGACTTAAAACCCTGCATAAAAGTAATTGCCTACGCATAGCAAAGAAACCTTTCATTATGTTATATGTTATATCTTAGAAGTATGCACTCCAACCCCGTTGAAATATTTATCTAGTATAATATTTTCCAGCGTTAGGAAAAGCTTGTGTGAACAATAACGAATGTGTCTCTAATTCAAAGTGTGCGGGCACTATTGGGTCTAAAACATGCAGTTGTATAGATGGCTTCGGAAATAAGGATGGATTATGTTCTAAAAGTGAGTACACATTGTCAAAACTCAGGTTTCACCTTTTTTCGACTTTTTGCCGACGCCCTCGCTAATTAGCGTGTTGTCGCGCCCCGCTGCAGCCATTTTAACTTGTAAATTCTCGACTTTTCGATTGGCGGGGTCGCGGGGCGAAATCATGAAATGGCCAAAATCAGCCACTATATAAACCTGTCACACTGTGTAAATGCCAACTCACAAAATTATATGTACAACTGCAAAAACGTCACATTTTCATAAATAGTATGTTTGTCTTTAAGTTATTACAAGGGTTATTATTGGGAATAGAACTTTCTTTTGGCACATATTTGGCATAGAGGTTAGTCATGATTAGAAGTTAACCCCTATTGATTTTGAGGTCACTAGGTCAAAGGTCAAAGTCACAGGGACATTGACTTCTACATGTTTGTCCGCCCAATAACTTAAGAAACCTTTGACCCATAGTCAAACCGAGCCTGCAACATTTCCAATTTGTTGTGTTGGACTTTCTTTAGGGATTCTGTTTTTTCTCTTTAATATTTGGCATAGAAGTGGATTATGACCATTGAGGTGACCCCTATTGATTTTGTTTAGGTATTATATAAATAAAGCTTACATAAAATTATATTACATATAATCATATTCATTTTTCAGAGATTATGTTGCTCTCTTGATACATATAACCGTAGGAAATAATTATTTATATACATTAATCAATAATTTTCAGCCGTCGATGGAATCGATTGCTCATCAGTTTCAACAGCATGTGACACTATTCAAAATGCAGCGTGTGACGCAACGTCTAAGAAATGTAAATGTAACACAGGTTTCATCATGAATGTTGACAAATGTGACCCGAAAAATTCTGGTAAACAGTGTTTAATCTACATGTTCTTGTATATCACAATCAGTTATCAGTTAGATTGATAATAAATTCAAGATGAATATGTAAAGATTGCTTTAAATTCTCAAAGCAATACGTCTTTAGATCTGTGTTGATGATATTACAAATTTACATATTGTTCTTACCAGTAAAACTGTTGTCAAGTAAACACATTTACGCGATGTCACCTAGCGTTGGTACGTACTATCTTCAGACATTTACAATAGCTAAACAAAATGTTCATTATTTCTTTTACTTCATATGTAACGGGGTAGAATTTAGGTTTATCAGATAGTAACTTTGAATGTTGTTACGGTAATGGTTGTCATGACACAAGTTTTATCTTGATATTGAATATTTATACATACCATTCCCTTAACAAACGACGCTATTTCCATGACATGTTACTTAAATAATTATTTTATTATAATATCATTTATCATATTTTTATCTCATTTTGATTATAGCTGCCTTGATAAACTTCGGTGTAGTTACGATGGTAATGTCTCTTCTGACAGCTTTTATTCTGTAGCGACAATGGAAAATATAGTAAGAACATCTTTGTAACATCATTCGTAAGAGTATTTTTGTATCAGCATTTGTAAGAAGTAGCTGATTTATTTAATATTGATTCACATATTGCATATTCCATGATTATATCCATGAAAGATTTATTTTAAACAAGACTATTAAATAACAATCAAATTCATTTTTTCCAGGTTGTTTTACCAGAACACTTAGGATTGGACAAGATGACTTTGTTATATTGTTTTTGTTCTTGTTGCAGTGGTTTATAGTGTGCAAGTGTAAAAAAAACATATATGAAAACTTGATTTTAGGATACAAGTTACATAACAGTATAACAGTATCTCTTTTTACGTCCATATATTTTAGTATATCAATTGTTTCTTGAAATAATAGTTTATGTTGTTACAATTAAATTAACCTATATTAAATATATAGAACATAAATATCAATAGATTTTTAGAAATACTGTCCGTAATCACTGAAATACAGATTGTGAACAAAGGTAGAATGTCAAAGGTTATATATGAATAATTATATTGAATAAAACATGTTTAAAAGAAATATGTACATATATCATATGTATATTTTCAACTTCCTTTTTTTTGGGGGGGGGGGGGGCTTATAACTTCTCTTTTTCATTTTCAAAAATAAGATTAATACTGAAATCACAAATAACAAATCGTAAATTACATTTGCATTATATGATAATAAATCTGTATTTAGTTCCGCAAATAGGTTGATATCACATGTTATTTGTTGTCGGTTGTCTAGTGGAAACAGTTATAAATATGAAAACACGTTTTAAATTGTTAAGAGGCCAACGGCAAAGATGCTCCAATAATAACCAAGCGGCATCTCAATATATGTATTTATCCAAATAAAGTTGTTTAACAGATTGTTCGTGTTTTACTTATAAATACTGTAGCATACGCCTTTAAAGGAAAAGTAAATGATCCTTGGCTCAGATATTTTCTGCGTATGCATTATTGCCCCTTTAATATCACTATGACGTGGACCAAATGTGTAAACATATTATTTTTTCTTCCTAAATGAACAATTCTTAAAGTAAGGTTGTTTAAATTAAACCACCCGAAGGTGTCTTATTAATCGGACGACTTCGATTGATTTATGGTAAAATGGTATAAAGAATTTCTGTTGGACCACGATACACTCGATACATAAAGTTAGACCCGTTGATAGGTTCAGTTAAGAATAGATAGGAAACAAACGAGAATTTTATTTTACTCGTACATAAAGAAAAAAAAACAAGCTGAATACAGAAGCCTTTAGTCGCAAACTACGGCATTCGTTTGAAATTCATCAACATTTATTGTTTAATTGATGCGTGTATTGTGACCGTCCTTAAACTGTATTGGTATTTATTAAGGTAATGAATGCGACATGTTATTTTAACAAAAACATAACATTTACATCATAGCGTTTTCAAAACTAAAACAAATTGTGTTCATCAATGCAAATTTAACATAACCGCTCTCAAGAAACAAAAGAAACGACCGGTATCCATACATTTGTTACTCACTATATAAAACTTTTTTGTTTGTTTGTGTATCTGATTTTAAGTCAACTATAAACCATTTTTGGCATATCTCGGCCGTTGATCCACCTTACCGAAATTTCTGACTAGCAAGTTATTACATATTGCTCAGCGATCGACCGATTATTTGATCCAACATGATTTCTGACTGAGCGGTGAAAGACAAAAGAACATAAAATATGATAAATAAGATCAACAAGGAAAGGCGGCGTTCAATGAACGTTACCCTCTTACGACCCAGTAACAAGAACCAGTGGCAAGGAGCCCAGGCGGACCCCAAACAAAAACAGGACAGGGCACAAGACAGAACACGGACAGGTTAATCACTAAAATTATCAAAAATTTGTAACTGATAAGGAATTCAAAGAAAACAAATAAATGATTAAAAATTAGAAAATAATTTGTAACTGATAAGGAATACAAAGAAAGCAAATAAAGGATTGAATAATAAGCCCACAAAGTCAAAGGGCACAGGGGAAGAGGACTGATGACCGGGGGGAGGGGGGTTAATTAAAGAAATAAAAACTAGGGGCAAAGGTGAAGATACTTACCGTAGACGAGATTTCAAAGAGGGAATTTGGTAAGAGAAAAAAAGTATGTATGTATGTTTTGGCATCCAAATCTTTATACGCCGCTTTTTAACATTTTTGTTCTTCATCTGATGCGGCAATAAAGTATTGGATAAGACCCGTTACGAAACCTAACCAGAAAAACGTACGTTGATTTAACCTTATTTTTCATTTGCAAATACCCTTAATACCCAATATACACAATAATACCCAAATTAACTAATGTGCATTTTGCGATAAAACAAATATTTTATTACTGTTCTATACAATTTAAAGTATCAAATATTAATACAGTCATTGCAATTGCCTATTTAACTGGGGAACATTCAATTTCGAGCCCGACAACTGAGTACGGCCATGAGGACATTTAGAGCTACGTGAGAACCCCTCGCTATGACGTAATCGCAGAAAGCACACAAGGTTTAGATGCTCGGCTGTACTATATTTTAGAATCTATTCTAAGTTGACATTATATTCAATACTTAAAATAATAAAATTAAAAATATTAAACACAAAGGTTAACTAGAATCACTCATCTATAAATATCTTAGTTAAAAGGTAAAAGCATAAAACTATTGGGCATGGGTTGTGTTTCTTTAATCAGAGCCGAGATAAAGCGTCAATCTCGTGTATAACTTGGTCATACATGTATTGGCAAAGACCGAGCCAATGTCTGACTTTTACCTTTGTGAAACTCATTAGGTATTTACATGTTCGTTGACTTCAGCAAATTTTATATGTTCAACCTGCTTATAACAAGATTAATTCAAAGTTGCTATCAAGCATGATCAGATCCTCGCACGGGAGTATTGACGGTCTTCCCTACGGGGTCCTGTCTTTGGCGTTAGTATGTAAACGGGTACACTGAAGACGTTAAACTAGGCACGAGCATGCAGATAAAAACACAATTCCAAACAAAGAAATATAACACAAGTTTCAATACATTTGAGGAGATAAAATCTGAGCTTTTATTGAGTAAAAGGTGCCTGTATATCATAGTCAACATATTTGGTACATGTACAGATAAATCCAACATTTGTCTGCTATAGTGGTATGAATTATTTTTCGACAAAAAATGACGTACAATTATGTTAAATTATAACGTTAAATTCCTATTTAAATGATTTACATTAAGACTCAAACGAATCTGGAGCCTAAAACAATAGTTGAACACAGAAAACAGATGTTGGGGGGGAAAGTTTGGAAATAAAGTCAAAATAGACTCAAAAGCAATAAAGTTAGATGTGACCATTTAAATCAATAATAACAATCTAACTTATGCACTTTTCAATTTTATTTCTGATCTAAATACATATAATTATAAAATAAACTCTCGTCAAATCTGATCATATCTCCTGTATCTTCATAAATCATTTAGATTGAAGTTACATTCAACATAGGAAATCCTAGATTTGAACAAGAAAATGCACTGGCGGATTCGCTTAATTATGTTTACTAATATTTATGTTATATTTGATAATCAAAACTTTAGAAAATATATAACTAAAAGAACTTGAATTTAAGTAAACTGTAAAGTAAATTGAAGGTCTATTCTAAAATACACAAAAAAAATATAATAAACAAAATATGATAAACAAGATCAACAAGGAAAGGCGGCGTTCAATGAACGCAACCCCCACATGACCCAGCAACAAGAACCAATGGCAAGGAGCCCAGGGGGACCCCAAACAAAAACAGGACAGGGCAAAGACAGAGGTCTCTGAAGGCAGAAAAAAAATCACAAAACTGGGAATAAATTAAAATTTGCTTCGAAGTGTAACGTCAGTAACAATGTTCAGAATCTTTATATATCTTTACATATCTAAAATCGAAAAAAAAAAATTTTTTTAATATCAATGACTCAAAAGAACCACCAGTCTCCGGTTTTCCGGTCCATAGTGCTAACAACTGCACCACAGCAAACAGTATGTTTCTTAAATGTAGGGCAAATAATTTTGTCATAAGTTGACGTAGATGACTGTTTTGTTTTATCTAACATTGAAAATAAAATTATATTGAGCCATGTAAGATAAATAAACAAGAAATAACTATAAAAATTATACCGAAGAAAAGAAAGATAAATAGAAAATATGACCCGTCATTTAATCTTCAATGACGACTGAAAAGTATAAATGAGTCGAAGCGATTCGACTTTGTGCAATATATTTGTCAACTACAGTAGCTATTTTCTCATTATCTGAGGCTATTGATGACGTGCTACCGAAAATTATATTATTTGATACAATATGAAATTTTATGCGTATACAGTATATGCATTGCGTGTAAGGTTCTGATAAATAGGACAATCGAGAAAAAAGTGACCGTCACGATCAGTTTCTACTTGTAAACGACTGCAAAAAGTTGAAAGAATAAATGTCTCCGGCCAATAAGCTGCAGTTGAACCGTGCCTCAGACGTGTGTACAAAATCTGAGTGCCGTATAGTAGAAATATTTCAGAACTTTTGAATGTTAGGGGAGATAGTTTGTTTAAATGACGATAGTGTTTGAGAGTTCGAGTATCTTTTATATAATTGCTTAAGTTTTGGGATGTGGACGACAAAACGATTAACGGTATATTAATTATAGCATAGTTGGAGCTCTGGCGTTGTAAATTATACGATTGTTTATTGGATGGAAATTTGAAACATTCATCAGCCATTTCAGCAAAGATAGGACAGTGAAAGGATGTCGGAATATTTTACAGTTACTTGTATTTAAATAACACATTCCGTACACGATTAAACAAATGTTTAATTGAAACTACTACGAATAAAACAATCAATCCTCTCTCATCGACCAGTTCAAACTAAAGGAATTGCCAGTATCAGCAACATAGTCAGAGGTATTTTACGTGGCACCCTGATAGAAGACAAACCATATTAAAAAGTAACGGTAAAATCAAAAACTTAATTAGTGCTCATGAATGTTAATATACCTTCTTCAGTTTTACACAAAAATTACCAAGTGTGGACGACAAATGGCATAGTGTCTGCATATTCATAACAGTCAAGAACCTTAGATGACGAAAAAAATCTAACGATTTTAAGCAAGTAATGTAAAGCTTTTTGCGACGCAGAACACTACCTTATCTAAAACTTATCGAACATAAAATAATTAGAACAACAATTTAATTATTCTTTAGTAATTAATTTATATAAAACAAAGCAAAACACAAAAAAACAAAAATAACAAACCAATGCCTAGCTAATGTGTACATTTTGTAAAGAAAATTGTATTTTTTTATTGTGATAAAACAGTTATATATGAAACTCGTTAGTTACGAGAGTATAACACTTGCTAGGCGACATCTTGAGATGTGTTTGCAAAAATACTTGTCTCGGCTTAACTGGCTCGACATTTTTGTTTATAGCAGAATCATCACTCGATTGATATTGCAACAGCCGGTGTTATACCCTAGTGAGTAACTCATTTCATATACTATAATTATTACTTATTTCTAAAATTAGACAAAAACTCACAACATAAGTGAGTCTTCTTTAGTGGTCTGAAATAAACGTATAAATGGCTTTCATTCAGTGATATATCAATACTCATATTTAGGAAAAGTAAACATAAACGTTGTTTAAAATCATATAAAAGATAAAATGTTTAAAAGAACACTAGCGGTACTAAATATTTGTTTAGGTGTCACAAAAAGGTTGCATTTTACAATACCTCCATTATCTGCCACACACGTGTCAACGTTCATCTTGAATCCGGCACTACATCGACACTTTGATTGAACACACTCGGCATTTGCACCACATTCTGT